TAGAGCATAAGCTTTCGTGGGCTACAACCTACTTCTTCGGATGCATCCGAAGAAGTGGGTTGTAGCCCACGAAAGCTTATGCTCTAATAAATTTGTTAGTCTCTAAGGTGCCACAAGTACTCCTGTTCTTTTTGCGGATACAGACTAACACGGCTGCTACTCTGAAAATAGTATTTATAAAAAACTCAAGGAGATGAGATCTCTGTTTTCATATACCTTTCTCCTTAGCATATGTTATTTACATAAGAAGAAAGAAGGTATTTCATATCACATTACATAACATGCTATGGTAGGACAGGAGAATTCCGTTCTGCATTCTTCTGACCAAATCCTAGAAAAAAAAAGCAATTGAGAGATCTGAGCTTTTTATAAACCTTTCCAATATTCCAAAGTAAAAAATAAAATTTTTACAAATATTAGAGGATATAATTATTTCTCCTTAACAACAACGTTTCAAGAACTCTGACCTCATGTTGCTATCAATGCCTAATGTCACACCACTTCTAAAGAACCTACATGTGAGATAAAGAGGACTTGACATGCATGTTTGTGTTGTACACGGTATACAAGCACATATTTTCATAAATTCACAAAATTTTTAAACCTTAAAATGACAAGTACATGGCCAGATTTCCTTTATCATTCTTGTCACACTGTCTCAGTCACTGACTCTAGCAGCTACATTAATCATTCTTAATTTTACTTCCCAAGTGCAGCTGCCCTCATGGTGCAATCTACTAAAACAGCACTTGACCTATTTGTTCCCACCATCTTCACTGACACTTGCTGCTGTAATAGCTCACCTGGGACACCATATTCCATTTTCTGCAATATCTTATCAACCAACTTTACAGTTGTTACAAGACTAATATAGAGTGATGTGCTTAATCACAAGAGAGATACCTGAGTACCACAGCTGTGAGAGAATCAATGCAAGATCTATGGGAGCTTACATTTTCATGGATTTTAATTGTCCTATACTGAACAGAAGCAGGTTTAGAAAGACCACAAAGTTAGTATAGTACCGTACAAATAAAGCCTACATTTCCTACGAATAAGATTCAACTCAAAATAGTATTAAATTACTACATAAGGAAACAAATTGCTCGCCAGCAATCATTTCATCTTTAAATAAATAAATAAATAAATAAAGAAGGACAAAAAAGTGATTCAGTTCTATCTACATAAAGATAATGAAGAAACTGCAGGTATTTTTTAAGTAATTTTTTTTTTAATGGAACAAAATACAGGACTATGGAAGGATAATTATACATGGCAAAAAAAGAAGAATTTTGTCAGGCTTATGTTTCTAAATGATATTTTGTAAAATGACTATAAAGAGAGAAAAACAAGAATTCCCTTTTAAAAAAGTGCAGCATCTGTTTTATAAGTACAGCTAACTCATACACTTGAGGGACATATTTTCACTCAGTCCACAGACATCCCAATGACATGAATGGACTCTCTCTGTATGGGAGGTTGAGGACAGAACATTCTCATTAAGTTACACACCATTTCATAAAACCTGTTGTCTAGGGAAAAACAATTCTCTTGTCATTAGTCAAAATCTTACTGTTCAAAGCTAAACATATTAATACTAAACTCAAGTCCAGTGTGATTTTGTTCTAGCAGCACCTACATTTAAACAGGAGTCTATTTTATTGCAAGATTTAATGTGACTGAATAGTATTCTAGTCAGCTGACTATCCAAGCTTTTTTACTAATTTAATGAATGCAATATAAATAGCGTGTGAATGAGTTAATAATTAGATGACATTCATGGTTTTGTAGTTTGTTAAACAACATGATCTTAGTTTAAATAGTGCATTTCAACTGATGCATCTAAAGCCCTTTTTCAAATTTTCTGAACTATGGGCAGATATTCAAAACTACTCCCAGACCTGACTTAGCCATGTAAAAGACATGCTTAGATATGACTCTGAGTTTTACACTGTCAGGTGTGTGAACCTTTGTCCCAAATATTATTTCAGGTATTTCTAATATATAAATCACTAGAGTATACAGGAATTACGCGACCCAGCTTTCAAGTGCAGCCACGGCTGCAACCACAGCCATGGCTAACATATTGTAGCAGAACTACACAACCATTTTGGACAGCAACTGAAGAACTCCATGTTCCACTGAAATTTCAGTATATAATATTGATAAAAATAGCAATGCAAGCTTAGGAAATTGCAATTATATTTATAAAAAAGTAGAAAAACAACATTTTAGGGTATGTAAAAAGGTTAACAGAACTTAATTTCAAAGTCTTTTCTTTCCCCTCGTGTGTGACATGGCCCAAACTCTCGTAACATAAAATGAAAATATTAATTGTTTTTGTCCAAAAATCCTATACTAAAAAATTCTGCTATGTACGAAAATGAATCAGGATTGAAATCTTAAGGTTTTGTTTCTGAGATTATTTACCTTTCAACACATGCAATTAATTCCCATTAGTATACCAGGAATTCTGTGTATCAAGAGGCAAAGTACTCTATCACAATATTCAATGCAAACTTCTCTAGTCAGCTTCTGACAGGCTGAGTGATTAATCAGGAGTTTATCAGAAAAACCTTTTAAAGTACTATAATTTAACCATTTTTAATGAAACGTGTGTTGTGTACTAGTTTATGTACATCATCTGTATTTAACCTGGGGTATGAGAGAAAGAAAGAACTTGGAGGATGTCTTTCAAATACATTTTTCATTTTTTAAAAAAATTTTGCTTTGTTTTAAATAAAAGCTACAGTTTGAGTGCTCTTTTGATATTAATATAAAAGTCAAATGTTTTTACAGTGCTTTAAGGTCTGGTGAGTTTCGTTCATTCCACTTTTATCATACATCAAAAAATCGTAAGTGGTACTACTATGGGGCTAATAAGTCTCATATTTCTCAAGACGCATGGCTCAAGATAAAAACATTCCTTTACTCACTACAGGCCACTTTCTCCAATTATAAAAAATTACCTTAACTCAGAAACATTAAAATGGCAGAGCATGAACAGACACTGATAGTCATGTGGGCCAAAAGGCCAGACTGCTACTATCAAAGACCTGTCATTTATTAATGGATTGTACTCAAAACACATCCAGTACTTTCTATACATAGCAAGAGACAATCCTTTTCCCAGCGAGCGCACAAATACTTTTCACTTCTAGAGAGACTTTCATTAAAGGTTTTCATAGTACTTTACAAATATTATGCGTCACAACAAACCTGTGAGAGAGGTAATATATCCATTTCACAGGTGGGTAAAAGGCAGTAAGAAAATCTCCATTATACCAATTTTACATTTGGATAAACTAAGGCACAATGACTCGCTCAAGGTACCCAAACACAGGCAGAAACAAAACTGGGAACAGAACTGTAGTCATCATCACCAGCCATTAGACAATACCTCCATTACAAGAATTCCTATGGAAATAAGCCTTACACAGCAGAAGCAGTTGTTCTGCAGCTGTGTGGGAAATGTTTTGCTAATACACACTGGATAATATGCTGCTTATTGTACATTACATTCAAAAAATGATGTTAAAATAACATTATTTAGATTGCAAAGTGAAGCACTTGAAAGTTAGATGTCCACACAATCTTAATTCTGCCTCTTTGTGCACCCACCCTGTGCAGTGAAGGAGGCAGTGGTTTTATGTAGAAAATAGTATGTGATTATGTTATTAAAGACAACATAATGCAAATGCACAAGTGGGCAGAATTAAGGTTGCATGGATAATTGTAAATCTGGTGCTTCCTAACTTTAAAATGCTAGGATTTTTTTATTTTTTTTAAAGGAGAAAGTTGAAAACAAATCCTATTATGTGCAACTGTATCCTCCCGTCACTTATCAGCAGAATCTGAAGCTAGGTCTTCAGCAATGCAACACAGACTGCAAACCACTTAAGCTACAGAACTAACTAAATTGGCTGGTAAAAGCAGAAGGTTGCATCACCCCTACTCCTCCAAGAAAGGGAATGAATCACAGGGTCCTGATGCTGGGTCTTGGCAGTGATTGTGGGTGACAGGGCCCAGTCCCAGCCCCCCCGCCACACACATACACCACACCCCAGGGGCTGGGGTAAGCTCCTGGTCCATGTGGTGCCCAAGAGGTGGGCATGGGCCACTGGGACCATGTGCCAGTCTGGGTGGAGAGCCTAGCCCAGTCCAGCTCCCTCAACTATAGCTGCTCTGATAGCTCCCGAGCCTTCCCAGTATAGCATCCGCTGCAGCATGAGCCCGGCCTCAAATGTGCTGTTATTATTTTGGCAGGCTGCCCAAATTTTCCTGAAAAAGGTAAACCATAGAAGGGAAATGATCATTTTTAATACTTTATATCTCAGCGAATTCATGGGAGAAAGAAAAGGTACTTCTTAGCTCTCCTTGCCAAACAGCAAGGTCTTTCTAAAAACAATGGAAGTGTAAAAGCTTCTCAAAGTAACGGTCACAAGAATTTTTATCATGACAAATGTTAAGCAAACTAAACATAGGTGTCACCACCAGCTCCCCCATTAAAGAGTCAGTGTGTTCATCTAGCATGAGTTACACAAACACAAAGTTGTGGCTATCTTTACTTACTAGCGATAGCAGCCAGGGTTGTACAAAAATTCTCTGGCAAAGTAAACTGCTTTTGTATAAGCATTATCTTTTGCTTTTAAAACGCTTATAGGTGCTTTGTTTTTATAATTTTAAGTCATTCAAATGATATTACATGGTTTTGATATTTGCTTTCTAAATGGATTATCTTTACAATACAGGAATATTCTTTGTGGATAATCTTTGTAAGTTACACTTCTGTTTTCTCTTAACGAAAATTACAGTGAACAAAAACAAAAAATTAGCAATCTGAAAAAAACTAGCATAGAAATAATAAAAAGTTGACAATAGCAGACCTAGAAAATATGCTAAAATGTAAAAACAGGCAGCATCTTTATTTTAAGCTAAATTTCACAGTTCTCATTTAATTTTAAAATAATTTAAATCACACAATAAATTAAACTTACTTAAACAAGATCTTTTTCCAGCTGTGCTTGCCCCGCCTAAGCATAAATTGCCTCCTCGATGAACCAGTTCAAGTTCCAAGTTTGTTCTGCATGAAATATATAAAGGTATTAGGATGGAACTTCAGTATTCAAGCGACAAAAAGGAACTTCCATAAGCTCGCATTGTATACCATAGGGAAGAACGCTGCGCATTAGTTGCTTGGTGGTTACATAAAGGAAAGGTTTGACTATTAAAAATAGCAAAATATAATACTTTTGTGATTTAAACAGCTTGGTTGGCAAGTATTGTATGAGGCACTCAAACTACAGCGGTGACTGCATTACAGATAACTAAATATATTTATTTTGCGGCATGTATCATTTTCAGACACTTTCACAACTCATTGCTGGTAGTGGAATGTTTGTGTAAACCTGGAAAGACAACAAAATTTTAAGAAGTTAGATATATTACAAACATGTGACTTCCTTTGTGAGGCACAGAATTTTTTAAAGTAATTTACAAACAAACAAACATAAATCAGATGCTTCGTCTTCAGATTATTTTAATTCCATTACAATGGAAGCCCTGTCCTTTGTTTGGTAGCAATGTTATTGGAAGCCGTGGAGGTAAATTTTCAGTGAAAGGCACTGGGATTTAGCTGTGTCGCTCATTATTATGAGATGGGAGTTGTGCAATGAAATCCCTGCATGTCACATTAACACTTTACTTCTTAGTATACTATAATACTCTGATGATTAGATACTATTTTTTGGCCAAATTCATTAACAATGTTTGACTTTGGAATTGGATGTTTATGTACTGTATTACCGTTTACCCTCAAGACACTGATCAAGCAATTTACATTTTGTCTTCTGAAAGTTTGTTTTAACAAATAAAGATGCATTCCTACATTTCTGGTGTAGGAAGACAAAATTACTATGCTAAAGTGATATTATGCTAAATTAATTCAAACGGCAATCTTTTTCCTTATATGTTTTTCTTTAATTGAAATTAAATAAACCATCTCTAGACTCAGTTTAATTTGATTGACTATCACTAATTGCAAGAAAACCTATTTTAGAATTTTAGGCATATGCATATTTAATCTAAACTACAGGATGAAGAGAACAGAAAAATACTTCATTCAAAATAAAATATTTTGGAAAAATTTCAGCTCTATCAGTTTAAGAGACTACTGGGTTCTTGATATACAGTGTTTGTAAAGATACTTTCATATGTTTCTAAAATAGTAACATTTCAAAATATTAATATCCCTAAATTTGCAGCTCATGCCACCCATTTCTGAAGGAATGCTTTAATCCTCTCTTCTCAGGAAAAAAAAAAAAAAAAAAAAGGCAATTTAACACTGATAATGTTCCTGCTCAGAGCTCCATCTGGTAGCTGCTGATAAGGGCATCTGTGTGACAGGGGAATTTTCCACTCTTCAGGCGATTTGCAGTGCTCACTGAACTTCTAAAAACCTACCAGCAAAGAAGCAGGGACAGGGATTTCATATTAGTGGGCAGAATAGCAAGTGTAGATCAGCATGTGTTAGTTCATCTTTGGAATATAAATGAGACAAAATGTTTTATTTCTACAAATCTTCTGATGACTAATTTGTAAATTAATGGCAGTCTTCTACTACTAAAACCAAGACATTTGCTAGATGTTATTTAAATGATTTAATCAGATAATCAGAAACACTATCTCAATCTCTTAAGAACAAATTTGTCATATCTAGAATTTTCAATTTTCCTTTCACTAAGACATATATATAATTTTACAAAAGCAAAAGTCAAGGACAAATCTGACAGAACAAGACATGCATGCAGTACTATGCTCCGTAGGAGGAGCGTCCTGGTGACAATCTCTCCCCAGCCCTCCTCCCCCCGGCACACTCACTCACTCTCTTTCCCTCCCAAGAGAGTAAGGCACCTCCTTATAGTGTATCATATCTCCACAGCAGAAACACCAGCCCTCTTCTGGTGAGGCATCCCCTCCAAACATGCTCATATTTATGGGAGATACTTTCCCCTATTATGCTCAATCTTCTGAGAGACTAGAGCACTTCTCCCATAAATAGGCACTTTCTACATGGCTTTTTTCCCATATTACCCGAAAACATAGAACATTAGGGTTCAAAGAGACCTCAGTAGGTCATCTAGTCCAACCCCCTGCTCAAAGCTCAGTTGTTGGAGAGACCTGCACTACACTTCCTGTTCTCTTCATCCCCATTCACATTCCCATCCATACTAAGGTATTGGTTAGTCCCTATAGTCAATCACCCACTGATGGAGAAAAGTAAAGCTGAACTCTCACCATCTAATCTCCTGTCACTGATGGAAAAGTAGGGGCACCTGACATACTCTAAATAAGAGAAGTGGAAAGTAAACTTGTCTCTCGATTGAATCCTTTTGCCAGAAGCTGGGAATGAGCGACAGGGGATGGATCACTTGATGATTACCTGTTCTGTTCATTCCCTCTGGGGCACTTGGCACTGGCCACTGTCAGAAGACATGATACTGTGCTAGATGGAATTTTGGTCTGACCCAGTAGGGCTGTTCTTAACCTCCACTATCCCACCTCCCTCAATGAAAAGTAAGAAAGATCAGCCACTTCCAGCTTGATACTCCATCTCTCTCAGAAGAGGAGAAGCAAAAGGAAGTGTAGCCTCTCCATCTTTCACTGAGGCAGGGACATAGGTAGCACAGCCTCATTTGGATTGCTCTTCCTCCCACTGAAGAAACTGAGAAGGGTGGGCTGCTTTGGCTCAGGCCTTGCTTCCTTCTGCTGCAAGGAAGGGACCGTTTTTAACTCGTGTTTGTGAACTCCAATTAATCTGAAAATATATGTGATGCCTTGTTTTTTAGTAGCCATCAGAACACAGAGTAATACAGGGGTATAGATAAGTTAGCCCTCTGCTACTGCTCTTGACCAGGAGGGGCAGATAATGGGGTGGAAAGCATGTCTGGAGGAACCAGCCCCTCTCCTACCTTTTCACAGGAACAAGTATTAGAATGGGAAAGTCCACTACCACTACCATTGCCTCTCTCTCATCTCTTTAAAGAGTTAGCATGTACGAGACAGTGAAAAGGGAAAGGAGGGGCAAGGGAGAACTGTGTGTCAATGTATACATAGCTGACAGCATAAACAATGGCTTTGTCTAAACATCCAAAAAGCAGAGATCTATCATATGCAATGCGGCAGAAGCGGTTTACAAGATGCTGCCACAAATGACAACCATCAGTACAACATGGAGCTATTACAATTAAAAGTAACATACTGTGACGTTATGAGTATAATATAATATCTCACTGAAAGGTGACAGGGCCAGAAAGAGTTAATTAACTCACAGACTGACCTGACCCATGGCTGACCTGTAGAGACTGGTTAGGAAGATAGGTAAATGAATAGAGCTTTGAAATGTAAGTCTGTATTGCTAGAGGTAGAAGGGTAGGTGTTTGCTCAGGTCTTGTGATGTAAGCAAACAAGTCTTGTCTATTGCTATAACTTTAATTCAAAGATCAAAAAAAGAATATTAACATTTATGATGATACTTGAGTGAAATAGTATTATTGTCTATATGTCTCTTTGAAGGTTGTGGTAACCTGTATCTGAACTGTTTAATGGATAAATTACCCTGTGCTAATTGCCAGAATGTTTGGAAGGAGAATTAAGCCTATTGTTTTCTCAGGCCGAAAGGCTGCTGGAAATGTATAAGAACCCTGGGACACAATCCTTCTTCATCTCAGATCTGCTTTGGGTTTCAAGAGGGGGGAACCTTAAGCCATAAGGATTGAGATCCCCAGTCATTGACTAGAGCCACCCTGAATATGGACATTGGACTATAACCTCTGGACTATTTCTAAAAGGACTTTTGTCAATTACAAGCTCACCTCTGCTATGTATCTGAACCTCAAGAATTGAATTCAAGTCTGTATGTATATTGATCTTTTAACCAACACTCACTCTCTTTTCTTTTTTAATAAATTTTAGCTTAGTTAATAAGAATTGACTATAGCGTGTATTTTGGGTAAGATCTAAGTTATAATTGGACCTGGGTATGTGGTTGATCCTTTGGGATTGGAAGAACCTTTTCTTTTATATGATGAGATAAGATTTTCAGTAATCATCATCATATCTGACGTGTGTGTCTGGATGGAGGCCTGAGGCTGGGTACTTTAAGGGACCTGCATTGTTTGGACTTCTGAGTAACCACTGAGGTACTATAGAAGCTGTTTTGTGCTGGCTTGGTAAACCTAAGTATTAGAATATCCACCAGCTTTTGGGGTTTATCTGCCCCGTTTGGTTTGCAGTTCACCCTAATTGAGTGACCTCAGCTGGCTCCCACGGGCAGCACCGTCACATGTACATACACCACTGTACCAGGCCTATAAACGCCTGTGAAGAGAGAGAAATGGAGCAAATGGAGGAACAGACTTAGGTAGCAAGATAAGAGATTGGGTGAAAGAAAGACGGGACCTCTATAGATAGCTAAGTAGCTGCTTCTCCAGCTGCACACACAGACCAGGAGGCAATGGCCACGGAATGTCTCTGGTATTGGGACAGCTGGCAAGAACCAGCTCTCTCCCCATTAACAACTGCAGAATACCCTCTCTACTTCCACTCCTTTACCTCTACTTGCATGTGTCAAGGCAGCAAGAGAGTAATAGGTGAGGAAAGCCTGTTGCATTCACACTGCTATGGAAAAGGAATGAACTGCTACCACTGGCTACCTCAGGGCACCATAATTCAATCAATAACACCCCACTTTCAGTATGTGGAGTTTACAAATGGCTGCCCAAATGTCCCTTTCATCTATTGCCTATGGTATCTTCTCCTCAGCTCTGCTTCAAAATTCTTACCTGCAAAAAGGCTACCTAGAGAAGGCAGGGAAGGACATTTCTCTTACTACAGATACCCCAGCCTATCCTCTGACAGAAAATGGAACAAAGGGCTGATTAAAGCAAGAAGATTCAGAGATTTAAAGATTAATTCACTGGCTAATAAAATGGCAAGGTTGAAGATCCAGTGGATATAATAAAAAAATATTTTTGAAAAGTGCTTTATTAGGAAGTAGCCAATTGTCATCTTGACCACTTTACGTTGTGCCTTTACCCCAACTCTCTATTTGTCCATGTTTTTGATTGTAAGCTCTTCCGTGTTTGTACAGTGTCTAGTGTATTTTGCACAGGCAGAACCAAATTAATAATAATAGTGAACCAACTATATACAGTTTGACTAAGACAGACTACAAAAGGAGAAAAGTGGGCAAGAAGGTAAGAATCTACAAATAGCAGAAACATCCAGAACAGTTATTTAATGTGCTAAAAGGAGAAATGAGATAGGATTAAGAAGGGAAAATTTAGGCTGAATACCAGGATAAACTTCCTGATAGTGAGGAGTATTATTCTGTCATTTAGCAGTGAAGTGGAGGATACTCTCTTGCATGGACATTTAAAATTCCACAAAACAAGACACTAGAAAACCTACAACAAAGAACAATCCTGCTTCAGATAAGGAGGTGAACTGCTGACCTGCATAGGACATATTCTTATTTCTATTAATGTTATGTATATTAAGGTTAAAGTAAAAGCTTTTAAAATTAAGGTTTATGATCATAGATATTCCAACCCTATAGTCCTTATACAGATAAAATTCAATAGGAGTTCTGTGCACATTTGGATTGCTGAATCAAGTTCTAAATCATTAAGAGTGAAATTAACACTGCTACAGAAGACCTGGCAAAGGCCCTCCATGTTACCTCACATGTATGGGAACAATATGGAGTGTCTGAAAACGTCCATGTAGGGGAAACAGAAAGCAGCAACCACTTATCCAGTCCAAAGGATGAAAGAACAGCCATGTATGGGGAGTAAATTTTATCTCTCCCACCCTAAAGGATGTTCATGTCATTTACTTCTAAAGCAGTGTAAGGAACAATGTAACACTGTTCTGGTCTGGGATATTTTTAACTCTCACAGGAGAAATTCTGAATTTAGATTTTAGCACAAACACGGAATGTCTAATTTACTTTTTAAATTGGTTCAGCTGACATTTTCTATGTTGCATACCTTTTATATTATTATAAACAGGTTTTTGCATTTTAAAAAGGCATTTAAGCAAATCATTTTTCACACAAGGAATATATTCATTTGTTGAGCTAAACAGAGCAACAAGAAAACCTCAACTGTGTACCCTTGTATACAATATAGTGTATAGATTATAGTACACTCCATGTAAATATAACTGTTTTCTATTTTGAAATTATCCTTACCATTCATAAAAATGAAGTTATTCTTTCACATTAGCTAAATATTCTACTTACAATGTCAACAAGACCCAAGAAAATCATTAAACAATTATTATGAAACAAAATGCAACTAAAGTATTCTTAAAGAAATTCAAATAATTTTCCATTTAATTGACTAGTTTGTTTTATAAATAAAGGCAACAGTGGTTAGTTTTTATGGATATAGAATAGACACAACAGGGCTTTGAATCTTTACTGTGACATGGCTGTATTTGAATCAGCAAAATATTTGTATGAAAGCTTTAAATATTTGGAATCAATAAATGAAATTGTTCAGAAGAGGATTAAAATGTTACTCAGAATTAACAAAAAATCATCATTAGAAACTATATCAAAACCAAAAACTTTCTTTTACCAGTTAAGGTTGCTATGTTAAATTATAACAATATATTTACCCTTTGCATCACTTACAAAATCAGGAAGTGATTAATTAAGGCTATGATAGGGCTCATCAATCTATAGATGCACCAGGGCTCTGTTTGGTGCACAGCTGAGGAAAGGGAGGAGAAAAGTGGGTGGCATTAGGCCACCTTTCTTCTCATTCACTTATCCCTGATCATGGGCATTGCCTAAGGGCCATTATGCGGGCAGCGATAATCAGCATGCAATCCATGCAAAGAGGAGGGGAAGACTGAGGGAAGAGGACTGGCTGGAAGTGGGCGGTACAAAGCTGATAGAGCTGGGTTTACACAGTCAGGTGAATCCCTATGCAAGCAAAATCTCCAGCTGCACTTTTTTACGGTAGCTTTAAGTTCCCTTTAAGCTGCCAAAGAGGCACAAAGGACAACTGGCATAGGACAGAACCTGGTCCATAAGTCTTATACTGTCCACTTTATTCTTATCAATGCATATTTCACCACAACACAGCCTTGACTCTGACCCATGATTTTTATCATCTTGATTTCAATTTCCAAACATTTGAAAGGGACAGTATTAAATGGGAAACATTATCAGTATTGTTTTAAAAACTATGTATCATTGTTCTTCCTTGTACATATACGGACAGATCTTGCAGTCGTACCCTTGGAAGCAGACATTTGTGCCCCCACTGAGGCCCACTGAAGTCAGTGGTGCACTGGGTGGGGGTACAAACCCAGGTGTAGGAATCCAATTGCAGGATGAGGCCTTTCGTTGAAAAAGAAAAGTGTATAACTTAACTTATTTATAAAAAAACGATGTGTGTGGATTTGCATTTAAAACTGAATCAATGTGTTTTAAGAAGAACTGTATGCTGCAGTTCTCTTTTGAGATTACTGATGAAAGAACAGTATTTATTTCGGGAATTAATGTGCATTATGATGCAATTTTTTTTTTTAAACCCGTGATAAAGAGTAAATGGTTAGGCTATTATGCAGGCAGTTTAAGATTTATGATACTGTACCTTAAACTGGTCATTTCCTTGCTTTCCAGTATTTCAGTTTTGCACATGATAGCTTAGTAAACTGTTGCCACTAAGCAACCATAATTGGGTTTTAAAAGAAATTGATGCTGATCAAATATTAAATATTAGCATTCGCATTTTAACAAAATCCTGAAGTTCATAGCTAAACTGCTTAAATTTTCCTTTTGTTTTTATAACACTCTAAGGCAGTGGTCACCACTCGTAGATCGCAATTGACTGGTCAATCCTGGAGCCTCTGCCAGTTGATCGCAATCCCCGGCTGCTAAAAGTCCGGCAGCGCAGCGGGGCTAAGGCAGGCTCCCTGCCTGCCCCGGCCCCATTCCGCTCCCAGAAGTGGCCAGCACATCCCTGCAGCCCCCCTAGGGGGTTGGGGGGGCGGTGGAGGCAGGGGTCTCCACACGCAGCTCCCGTCTACAAGCACCACCCCCGCAGCTCCCATTGGCCGGGAACAGAGAACTGTGGCCAATGGGAGCTGTGGGGCGGTGCTTGCAGGCAGGAGCAGCACGTGGAGCCGTGTGCACCCCTCCCCCCATGGACCGCAGGGACGTGCTGGCCACTTCCGGGAGCAGCGTGGGGCTGGGGCAGGCAGGGAGCCTGCTTTAGCCCCGCCAACTGGGAGCCCCCTGAGATAAATGCCACCAGGCAGGGGCCCACACCCCAACCCCCAGCCCTGAGCCCCTTCTCAGAGACAGCAACACATACCCCTTCCTGCACCCCAAACCTCCTGTCCCATCCCTGACCCCCCTCCCGGAGCCAGTACCTCAGACCTCCTCCTACACCCCAACACTCTGCCCCAGCCCGGAGCCCCCTCCTGCACCCAAACTCCCTCCCAGAACTTGCATCCCTCATCCCCTCCCACACTCCAAACCCCTCGGCCCCAGCCCAGAGCCTGCAACCCCCTGCCCCAGCCCGGTGAAAATGAGTGAGGATGGGGGAGAGCGAGCAACAGGGGAGGATGGAGTGAGCAGGGTGGGGCTTTGAGGAAGGGGTTGAGTCTCAGGGAAGGGGCGGGGCAGGGTAGATCCTGGATTGCATTTAAATTCAAAAAGTAATCTTGTGCGTAAAAAGGTTGGAGACCACTGCTCTAAGGGTACAGCTATTCATCACTGTGTGGAAACCATTGCTCTTCTGTCAAACTTCACCTGCTCAGCCACACTAGAGTAGCTTCCTGCCTGTCCAAGAAAAGGTTGCTAGTCCTCATACTAGTATGTCACATCATTACTATTTAACATTTTCTTATTTCTCAAGCAGAAAATAACTAGCTGCAGTACCATAAAAGAAAACTTTGTAACATGAGAGGAAAGAAGATATTATGTTGAATGAGCTAGACTCAAAGAAATTAAACAGGCTCTTTGATTAGCAAATTCTATTTTGCTTTAATTGCATCTTTTCCCACACAAGTAAGTCTGTAAGAACAGCACTCTGCAGTCATAACAACTTGTGTTGAGAGCCAGTCAGCTCTCCCATATTAAGTAGGGTCAGGCCCAATCAATACATAAATGGGTGACTTATGGGAAGATATGTTGACTATTCAGTAAGCAACACCTCATTCCTTTGAGTCAGTGCTAAGCCAATGCCCCAACACGGTGGTTGTGTCCCTTGATAATGGAGATGTGGTCCTTCAGAGGATATGCAGAACTCAGGTCCTATCTCTCCACCTCATTAGATTAGCTATTCTTAGGAGACAAGGGTTAAATAAGGTCCATTCCGACACAGATAGTTCACTTCACACAACTAGTGATGTTATGACAAGTTTCACAATAACGTGTGTTTTTCTTAAAGCTCCAGCTGTTGGAGTTATGTGAATACATGTGAAACTCAGAATTCATTAAGAAACAAAACAAACACAAAACAACCCCCTCCCTAAAATTCTAGCTCTGATTGTCCTAGAGTGAAAAATGTGACCCGAGGGCATCCTACATATTGAAAAAACAGAAAATAAAAAGAACCCAAACTTTATTATTATTTTTTAAATCTCATGATTGTTAAACCAATCTCATCATTTTGGTGGGTTTTACTAATTATTTTTTTGGGGCACTATTACTAATAACAAATGCAAAAGGAATGGTCAAAATAGCTTAATAGACCTACCTAGCTACAGAATACATGAAGAGAAAATCATTGTCTGGTGATCCAGGAGTCTTGCTGTAGTCTGTATATTTCTTCTGGGTCGTACTTTTTATATCTTTCATTACAGATTCCATTTCCTTACTAAGATTGGTTTCAGACTACGAAAAAAGAAAAGGCATTAATAGGTTAATTTACTCATCTGGAGAAAAGCAATATACAATTACAAAGCTTAACATTGTCAGTATAGCTATACACAACAACATTTATGTGTTATATGAAAAATATGTATTAACAGCTGCTATCATACTTTTTTGTCTAGTAGAAAGGTATATTCTGAATAGGCAGGGAGATGGACAAAGCAATTTCACTGTTTTGTCTACATAATGTACAGAATTTTTAGTCTGTGCTATCCTAAAGTCAAGTCAATGGGGCATATGGATTGTGCAACAAGTATATGAAAATAACACATTTAAAATTGCAATCCTTAGCAAATGGAAGTATTGTTACTCTGAAATACTTTTTAAATAGAGGTATTTCCTATGAGATTGGAAGACTAACATGATTTTACAGATTTAATTATATTGAATGACATTATAAAGCAGCTATATTATGTATGAGTAGATGTAAATTGTTATCTTTGCAAAACAAATAATCCATACGATTACATGTTCTGAACATACTTTAAATAGCTTCCAGTTACAAGGGATTCATGTTTTACATTGAAAAAATATAGTGAGCTTCATAAAATACGATTCAGGTCTATGTAAATTACAAGAATGAATTGAATTAAATGAATAAGAAAAATCCATTCAAAAAATAAACTTTTAGATTAATAATATTTTGGTCATAACTCTGTTTTTATTTGATTACATTTAATCCATTAAAAATAGTACAATTTTCCCATACAGAAAGAGGAGGAAAAATTTGGCTTTATAATTTAAATAAGTCACAGAAAGAAATATGAAACAAAGTTGAAAGATAGAGGCAAATTAACAAGGATCTTTCTGCCTTACACTGATGCTTACTGGGAAAGTTCCCAGCTGTTCTTGAAGCTCTTCCACCTCTTTTATAAGATCTTGCATACTCTTGTTACTATGACATTGCAAAAGGCTTCTTTCCACATTGTTTCCAGGATAACAAGGAAGAACACTGTTTGCAAATTGCCTACAGAGGGGACAGGTAAATTCTCCTTTGTCCACAGAAAAACCCTGGAGGACCTGGTCATTCTAAAAAATAAAAAAAATAAAAAAAAAGGTAGATACATATGAACTCAGTGAAGATGACAATTGTGTTCTTGAAATTTTATAGACAATATCTCACAGATAAAAATATAGACCATCTACAAATAACTGAAAACCAAGAATGATACGAATATGTGCTTAATTTTGTAAGAGCACTCTAATTACTAAGACTGTCTCATGATATCCCCATAATTTACAAGTATTCCAGAATGACCAAGACAATCCCATAGTTAATATGTCCCACAGTTAAAGGAGAGATATTCCTGCTGTTCCCATATCACAAAAACAGTGACTGCATCATCTCTAACTGACACTCCGATTTGCTTGAACAAATTCTGTGTGGGACATGGAGCACTCACCAGAGGACTTCTCCTACTCTGCTTGATTCATGTTATTTCAGGCAGAACAAGGAGCAATATACAATTACAAAGCTTAACATTGTCAGTATAGCTATACACTATACCAGCAACAGAGAACCCTGTGACATTGCAGAACGCCTTCCATCACTGGGAAATAGTGGGGCTAGTGTGGGGGGAAGGGGTTAAAGTGACTTTTAATGTTTGTTTTTTATTGCTGATTGTTAGCAACTGCCTTAGAGTTTGAAAGTTTCCCTTATTAACTTTATTACTATCCATCTGGCAAAAGGCAAATTTACTTATCAGTAATGGGAAATACCTGAAGTTACTGTCTCAGGAGAAATACATTCTTGAACTTAGTTCACACTATAGTCCAGAGACCAAGAACCTAGCCATTGGAGGGCACCATGCCAGATGGAACGGCTCAGTTTCTCTCCACTACAACAAATCTCACTGGACTTTAAAGCAATACGGAAGAGGAGTGTGGAGCTATAGGGGGGAGGAGGGAAAGCTTCAGAGAGCTTCAGTTACTGTACGTAACTTCCCATTTTCACCCTCACAAAGTGCCTCATCAGATTCCCACTCCTGAGAGCACTGCAGGAATAGTGCTGACTAAGTGTAATTTGAGTTCAAACAGTCTCCAGCAAACTGACAGAATTACCTTTGTAACTTTCTGGGTCCCTGACTAGTTAGATCAAGTTTGAATAAAAAGTTTTATCCATGAAATGGAAATGCAGTTTTCTACCAAAATTTACCAGACATACAGTATATACATAGCATAATTACAATATTTTTAAACAGTGAGATTAATTTGTTCAACTTTTCTTCTTTATATTTGCTTTGGTAGGTCAACATAATTAGATATAAAGTCAATTTTTTATAAAAAATGTAAAGAAGAAATAAAAAGGAGATGTTAAAAGTACACTGTTTGGAAGATGATCAAAAAAGCCTAGCACATCAATGTAGAAAATAAAAAGGACTAAGTCTTGCTTCCATTTAAATTAGTGGTAAGCTCCCATTGACTTCAATGGGAGCAAGATCAGGTGCAAACAATACAAGACAGTTTTTGGAATTGCAGATCAACTTACTCTTAATGATTCCATGTAAGATTTATGACAATCTATGTGTAACGTATGACCACAAGTTTGTACATAAACACCTCCTTCCCAGCCTATTGACACTGCTTGCAGACAGGAACTCTTTAAAAAAAAAAAAAATGTACATGATGTTATTCAACAGACATTTACAGCTAAAATGTATACATGTGTTGTTCAATAAATATTTCTTTCACTTTTATAGGGCTTAGTTATAATAATCCTTCCACTATATACCTATTGCTGTGCTTTGCATTGAAAACCGAATTTAAGCTCTTATTAAACTATAATACTGCAAACGTTTGTCTCCCAGGATGGTGATAGAATTAGGGAGGAATAAAATGCATATAGAGTTCACATAGATTTTACCGTGTTAGAGCATTCATAGTTATACTGACGGTAAGTGTCACAATGTAGTTCTTGCAATTTTATTTCTGAACTTCTAATACACTCCACTCCCCTAAGTTACACATTATTTCAGCACCAAAGCAATCTTTTTAAAAGAATCTCTGGCATTCACTGTATTCAGAGAGCTTTTAAAGTCCATTCTGCTGTAAAACTACAAACTTTTTCCTGCTTCAGAAAAGCGGACGCCAATATATTTCATTCAACATGAGCAATACAATGATGCCATAAGGCTCTGAACATAACATATATCATATACATTAATAAAATGTCCACAGTTGCATAATTAAATATCTATCCCATTTTAATTCAATTCTAAAACTTCAATTCTCTTGCTAACTGATTAACAATACAGTCAGGAATACAGTATAAGATGAAAAAAGGCATTAAGTGGCACAATAATTCAGTGTATCAACTTTTCGGCTGTGGAGATCTGAAGTCAAACCTTAGCCCAGGTCTAAAGCCTAGCATAGGGTGCTAAGATGATGCCAACAAATTATTTGGCCACATCACAAAACTACACAATTTGGTGAATGGTACTCTAACTCAAGAAATGATCAGCTGGAAAAACAGAGAGTTATGATGAGAAACTTTTATAATACATGCATGTAATATATCTAGTTATAATCAGTTTTATTACTTCTCATTTCATGAGCAACAGTTTCAATCACAAAATTAAAATGCATGTATTGCATTTACACAAAAACCTTGTCCTAATAGTGAAGAGAGAACAGTAAAAATGATCAGCAAAAATACCTGTTTTAGCCCTAAAACAGACTTGCCCTGCAATGATTTATAATGGAGAATGTAAAAATAACATAGTGGTGGTTTGCTTTTTTTGGTGCTAGAACACCTCTCTTTTTCTGCAATTGAGCATATAGGACATTCTTCTATTTTACCTGCTCCAATTTGATCTCTAACATTTTATAGCTCTCCAAGGCCTGAATCTATCACCTTAACCATAACACAGTCTTTCTTCTTCCTGCTGGCCCCCACCTGATTGAGGGACAGGTTGGGTGGTGAATCAAGTGAGATTATATAGTGAACTAGGATGAGTCCCAGAATACAGTGGACTCATTCACTGAGAAAGCTCATTGTCTGCAGCCAGAGAGATTGGTGGCTGCAGCATTTATTACATAAATGGGATGGTGCAGATAGTGAATAAGGCAGGAGTCCACAGGAAGAGGAAGGATAATCAAGAGATGTAGATTTTACTGCCAGTTCAACCACAGACCTTCATCAAATAACACATTCTCTATGCCTCAGTTCTCCCAAATGAAATGGTGATACCACATTTTTACCTGTACTGAACAGGAGGTTACATTAGGACAAATTCATTAATATTTGTGAGGCAATCAAAAAATGATAAAACACCACTGAAAAATCTATCAAGAAAAATTCCTGCTTCTGAGCCAGTGAATAAGGTACAGGGCCTCACACAAACAAAAGGCTTCCTTAAAGTCCTGCTTCCTTCCACATGCACCTTACTACACCATGTTCCACAATCTCCCTACCTGTTAAAATTGAAATTCCATTAAACTTTCTTATGTGTGCATGTGCAAATCCCTTAGAACAGTGAGAGAGTGCCTACTCAGTGGAAGTCTGCACACAATTGATACATATGCATGCACTTGAAGTGCCACTGGAAAGTTGGCAGATTGTTAATTTTGTCATATGACAATAATCGGTGTGAATACACAAAGTACGATTTTTAAACATTTTTAACTTCAATAAATCAAAAGAGAATTTTTACCATAACATGTGTAAACAACAAAGGACCAATAAATGAACTAGGGATTACCTATCTGCCAAATTTCAAGATTCTAACAGATTCTAAGGGTCTAGAATTGTGGGTTGGTTATTTCTTTTAAGTTTCCCCACAGTTGAAAAAACACTATTTCTCTCCCCCCCTCTCCCCCGACACACACTTTCCATTCTTAAAAATAGCTCAGCCATTTTTCCCTGACTGAGCAAATACACCAAATTTCAGCCAAAAAAGGTAAAACTTTAAATGACCTTCTTTTGCACTGTATAGTATATGGCTTCTGAAACAGCATTTATGTTTTTCTTCAAGTGGAAGAGTATGGATCCTATTTTGTATCTTACGAACAACTTTCACAACTAAGTAAAATCATCCTTCCGTCTCCTGAAATCTTCTGCAGTACTTGTCATTACGGGAAGGACACTTACCGCTGAGGGCACAGCTGATCAACAAAAGGATTTCTTATTGCTTAGCTCAGCGGAACAAGCCACTCAAGACACTAACAGATGTTTCTGTTTTTATGCCAATAAGAAATTTAAGGATTTGTTCTTTCATGCAGAGACATTTTTAGCACAGTAGTGATCTAGAAACTTGAAAGCAGAAACAACTAATCCAACTAATGTCTGAATTGAATCCAGAGTTTTTTAGAGCAGAAAGTATTAAGCCACTGAGTCATTACAGTATCTTTTAGATTATTTTACAAACACTCAATGCAGCCTCACAGGAAGGGAGAAATCTGATTGATCATGAAGTTACACTTCCATAAGGTCGAGTTTAGATAAAATACACTTTCACCAAATCCCCCAATATTTGTATCATGAGAAAAGCATACAGATATAGATTACATACATTTTTTTAAAACACTTCACTGGGGAATAACTGTCCACTAGCAGTTTGAAACACTGCAAGACAAAGACCCACAGTTATATTAACCAAGTAAACATTTACCAAGTTTTGCACTTTGTTAACAGGTTTCCTTCTGAACTTGACAAAAGCAATATATTATTAATCGCAACACGTCAAAATAAGTGCATTACTGTCATTCTTTGGTGAGTATTTATAGCACAAGTATATTATGCTAGGGTTGACTAGGGTGACCAGATGTCCCGATCTTATTGGGACAGTCCTGATTTTGGGGTCTTTTTCTTATATAGGCTCCTATTACCCCCCACTCCTTGTCCCGATTTTTCACATTTGCTGCCTGGTCACCCTAGGGTTAACAAAATAGCATCATGAAATGAAAGGTAACATCTAAATGATATAATGCCATCATCGGGCTGACACAAGTCACATTAGAGTTAAGATGGCAGCGACTTTTCTGTTTAAAACCAGAGTTTCAGTGTTCTAAGCTCCACATGTCTAGTTAGATCAGTTTGAAAACTGGTATGCCACCAGAGGGCCCAGCGTTTGTGCTGCAAATCTGGGGTCATTGGATCCCAGGATTCGGAGATACAACCCCCTCCCCAGCAAATGACCTGTTTTTTAAAATGTTCACTCTTTTACAATACTTTTTTGTACAGAGACAAGGATAAAACTATAGCCTGTCTCTACATAAGTTATCACTGGGCTAGCCCTGCTGAGATCTAGTGTTCAGTACCAAGAACCAGCTCCAAAACCTAGCAATTAATAAGTTATTAGACATTGTTTTTAGTTTTATGAGGAGGTGAACTGGGCTGCTGGGCGCAATGCACAGAATGTCACAGCAACTATGTGCAGAACCCAGACTGGAGCTGCAACATAGAGAAAGTATACCCAGTCACCTAGGGGAAAGTGCAGTGGGCTGACCATCTGACTCTTCTTGTTTTGATCCCTGTTAATATTTCAGTGTATTCTTATTAACCAGGCATTATATCTTTACCCTAGGTAGACAACTATCATTCCTTCATTCTGCAGAAAAAATAACCGGGAGGATGAAAAAGGTCACTTCTACCAGAACTGGAAATAGAACTGAGGTCTCTAATATGGCAAACCAAGTCTCATTCCCTTAGCCACACTATCTTTTGAAATGACATCCACTATTCCAGTATTGCAAGGATATTGTATGAAAATTTTAGCTTGCAGAGTTTCCACTGACCTATGCAGAATAACCTGCACAAAGAGAATTAGGCCCTAAATTTAAAAACCAAGGAGCTTATCAAATTTAAATACTTTACACCATTCTTATTTCAATTAATTTTTCAAAAAACAAAAGGCAGAAATAAAATCAGGAAGTCCAATTCTAAATACACTGCGCACAATTATTATACAACTGGTAATTCAATTCATGTTTTTACATAGCTCTTTTAGAGATGATAGTACTGCCCTGTATCAATACTTACATCTTTAAAGTACCGCTGTAATGTTGTAAGCCTAACATCATGTACTGCTGCACATGTATCCGAAGGGTATATTTGCTCCTCTTCACTGGTAGGTAGTTTCTTTGGCTCAGTGCTATTGCGACATTGCCCCAAAACTATACATAGAAAAAAGATGAGCAAGAGTAAAATGGACAATGATATATGCCCAATGAAAAAAGATTACATGAAAATTTACCCCAGGAAATTGTAGGTATAACCATATTTGTCAGATAAAAGGTTTTGTTTCTGTTGCTAACAGAAATGGTAGGAAAAAATTAAAGAAAAACTACTTTGTGAAAATGTCTTTTGCTCTATGCTCTGATGGAGTAAGTACATACTGTGTATACACTGCTAGTTTTTACATTTTTCCTTTAATACCAGGTTCCTATGCTCCCATTAGGAGGTTTTCCTTTGGGATTATTCAAGAGGATTTGGAGGATTGGGAGGGTAAACAGGACGAGCCTCCTTCTCATCTCCAGCCCCACAGAAGAGGCCAAGTGTTTAGCTCTTTAAACCTACAGAGCTCTTTAAACCTACAAATCTGCATGATGCAAGGACCATCCATATGGAAGCATGTCTCCCTCATCCCCTTTCCCAAGCTCCATGAGGCACCTTAACAGTATGGTTTATGCTGTCAAGGACTCCTGGAACAGTGGCTCTTGCAATAATCCCCTTTTCATACCTGAAGAGGCTTGTAAAAGCACAACTAGTCCTGTAGGTCGATCTTCAGTGGAAGGGCCACTCTGTCCACAAATAACACAATCATACACAGCCTCAGAAACATGCTGTTCTGATGTGGCTATCTCCATGGCAGTATCAGCATCTGGCGATTCTAAGAAAAACAGACAAGTTATGGAATAATTAAGATGCAATAAACATCTTGCATATAGATCGGGATAAAATGTCATTAATCCTGTTCCCAGATAGAATATCATCGAAAAACACAGAAGACTACTTACACCTAACCCTGATACTTCAAGTAGAATAGGTGCACATGCAGACTGTAAACTAGAGCCAAAACACTGTAGAAAAGCAAAGACTACTCCCTCACAAAACTGAATGTTCACTTCAAACTTATAAAGAGCCTTAGCTCTGAGATGCTGGTTTCTTTCACCTACTTAGATTCTACATGAAAAACTCTGAAGAGCAGGGATGAAGGGTGATGAGTGTGAATCCATATCTATTGAAACCAGTTAATGGTAAGTAATCTTTACTTTCTCTAATTAGTGTCAGAATAAATTCTGAAGATCTTGGGAAATCAGCAATAAAAACACTTTAAGGGGGTGGAGCTGAGGAGAACTAGTTAAATAAAGGTATCAGGACTGCTCTGTGAAGTGCGTGTACATGTGTGAATGCACCTCCAGGTAGTAGCCTTGCATATTTCAGAGATGCAGACATACCCAAGAAGTGCTGTAGAAGTTGCTTTAGAGTCAGTGGGCACTGATAAACCTGCAAGGGCATAACTGGTTTGTATAAAAGTTTGAAATTCCCCCATATTGTCTTCATACACCAGAAACAAATAGGTAGGTTAGAAAATATTTAAGTTTTTATCAAGATAATTTGGGGCCTTTTAACATCTAAACTGTTCAGTGCGGCTTCCTCCAGTAACAAATGCAATTTAAGGGGGAAATATATGTAAATATATGTTCAGATGGAACTTAGGGAAGACCTAACGTAAAAATGTGGGGGTGCAGTCATAAAATCACTTTCTGCTATGCAACACTATGTAAAGAGTGACAGCCATCAGGATCTGGATTTCACAGACTCTCTTAGTGGATATTATTGCTTTTAGGGATGTAGATCAAAATATTTAAAACTTAAGTGCCTAATTTTAGGCACCTAAATAAAAGCCGGATTTTCAAAGTTGTTCAGCACACGCAACTCCCACGAACTTCAGTGCAGGTGCTCAGCACTTCTGAAAGTCAGGCCACTTATTTAGATGCCTAAATATAAAATCAGGAGTCTACTATACCTCCAATCTCCTAGGTTTGAAAATCTTGCCTGGAGTTTTTATTGAGATAGACAGTGAAATCTCTCCCAGTGGTTTATCATCAATTTATTAAACTAAATACAGGTAGAATTTCACACACACGTAGTAAAGTATGGCAATTTTTTTTTTTTTAAGGAACCTTTTGATTGTCAGAAGCCCAGACAAAAAAACTCCTTGGACAGGAATATGATTCACTGATATATCTATTAGATTAAATCTGACGATGCTTAAGGCCAAAACCACAGAGCCAAAATCTGTCAGAGGCTCTCAATGTCTCCTCTAAATAGGAGGACTAAAAATAGAACTGATAATCCTTACTGGCTTAAAAGTGAAGATTGAGTATCTCCCAGGCAGGCAACCCTATACCAGTTGCTTCAGGGTGTTTGTGATCCACATTTTGCCCTTACAAGATGGGCACAGTTGAAACAGTTTTTCATGGCCATGGGAGATGGATTTACAGAGGGGGAGAGATCTTTACACCTGCTCCAGCCCCTTTATGCAAGCTACAAGGCAAGAGCAGCATAAAGGGGGCCAAAAAGCCCTGGCTGCAGCTGGGGGAGGATTTCCATGGCACAGGCACTACTTATGACAGCTGTAAGGCTGCCTTATATGGACACCATTTCAAGCTGGGAGCAGGAGGTGCATGTTCAGGGAAGGACAGGATTACCCAGAGCAGTGGAGAGTCCATGCAGCACTGCTGCCCATCAGGCAGCTCCCAGGGCTATCTAAGGTCAGCTGAAAGCTTCTCAAGGCCCCAAAGCAGCCCATTATTGGGAGGGCACAAAGGTGACTTAAAGCCACTTTAGTCAGCCCCTGGGCAGCTAGTTTTGTACTGTGCCTCTTAGATGTGCAGCACCGAATCTCACCTAGGGACTCTAAATGAAAACAAAGAACAACTGGACGACCCAATGACATCAACAGGACTGTGACAACAGTGCACCTCCAACTCCAACATTTTAGTAAATTAACAACTAACTCTATACAAACGAGAGTTGGAGTTTTGAGAATGGAAAATAAAAACAGCCATAAAAACGTAACAGCAGGAGAAGCAGAGAGAATTCTGAACTCATTTCTCCATAGACTAGAAAGAAGAAAAAGAAAAAAAAAAGGAGAAGTCTTGAGGAAACAGCATCTTAACATCTTGCACTGAACGTTTACTACTGCACAGAAGCATGAATGCTGCACCAATAGTCAATCTTCTAGAGGGTTCAAACTTCAATGTAAAGGGCTCACATGCACCCAAAAGAGCAAACTTGTACTGACACTATTTGAAGGACAGCATGAAGGTCTTCCTTAAACTGATCAAGTTTGGCTATGAATTGTTTCAAAAAACCTTAAAGCTAAAACTAACATGGACTTTAATCTTCTTGACTGAAATATGGAATTGCTGATCTAGTCATTGTACAACCAATTTATTTAAGTCATGAAGAAGAAAGCATTTTTACAGAGCATTGATGAGATTTTCAGTAAGTCAAAACCTGGCTGCTACCTTGGTTTTCCTTGTATATCTCTGGAACTCAAATGGAGGCCTGATGATTATTCTAACCTTCCTCCCCTCTACCTCAGTAACATCAAGTCCTTTTGCTGATCACAGATTGAACAGAACTATTTTCAGAGTTTAACAATATCCTCAGAGGCCTACTGAGTATGGTGAATCCGTGTAACAGAAGGTGAAACAGGCATATCTGCAAAAATTACAAGCCACATTTTTCAAGAGATATTACTTAAAAACAGAAATGTTTATTATTTAAAAGTGCTCCAAAGACAGTGATCCATCTATCATCAAGCAATAAACAAAAACAAAACTGTCCTTTTGCATTCTAAGTATTAGTGCAGGCCACTCAACTGAAATGTCTGAAGTATGACAGTGGTCACAAATAGTGTCTATTATAGTAAAGGTTGCAAGACAGTTTTGACCATAACTCTGTTTTCACTTGCTCATAACCTTCTCATGAAATTCAGATTTGGACTGCATTTTCCATGCTTAGTCTCTTCCCACAGATGATGGTGGATGTTTGAAGTCATTTTTGAGTTATGGGAAAGTAAAACCAAACCAAAACACAACGCACTTTTGCATTGTAAAAGAAAAGTTAACCATTCAGCTAAAACAGTTGAATATGAAGTTGGCACGTAAAAAGTCCTTACTGAAGAGGCTTGTACTTTGAGTAAGGTTTAAAAACATGGTTTCAATATAAGTATTTATAAACATTTTAAAATAGCATACTGATCGTGCTTTCATACAGTATTCTAGTCTATAAAGGTTCTTGGATTCCTATACCATGCTCAATGCTATAGTATCTGAGCCTTCCAGTACGGCAACTAACATCTGCCACATGCTTGTTCTCTCATTTTCTTGCCAGTAGAAGGAAATGCATGCAGTGGAGTGTTTTTTTTCTTTTTTTATTTTTTCAAAATATATTATAATGTACACACACAACACAAACATTTACAGATTTCTATGTTTGTTAGAGAAATCAAGGTCACAGAAGAGTGTCTTGCACTTAGAGTAGAAGGCAGTGAGGTTTGTGATGGTCATAAGTTCCTGTGGTCAACTTGATGCTAACGGTATGGTCGTACGGGTAAAGAATAGGTAGAGTTATGTGTCATCTGCATATTGCTGGCATGTTGGTCCGTGTCAGTTCCCTTAGTGGATGCATGCAGATGTTGAACAGGACTGGAGAGAGAATCAATCCCTGTGGGACTCCGTAAGTGAGGGGCCCAGTTGTGAAGGTGTAATTTCCCATCACTGCTCATTGGGTGCATCCCTCCAACAAGCACTCAAACTATTTTAGCCCAGGACCCGTCTCCTCTCTCAGGTGAGAAAATTCACAACAATGTAAATACAGAATGCCAGTGACGTTTAAATATCTTGCTTTAGGCACCCACATTTCAAAATATCAGTATTTAGAATAGGATTGCTTATAAGTGTAAACAGCAATAAAAGCATTTTCACTAAGAAGGCTTTCTAATAGCACTAAAATCAGTACAAGTTGCAGGATGAAAAAAACCATCATTTCCAAAATGATATTATTTTAATAGGTACTCATTCCATAATAATTCATTTTAATGTCAAATGAAAATGATAACCTTCAATATTTATATTCTTGAACACAGCAGTTCCACCTGAGGTGTTTATATTAATTTGGCTGAACCATTTCTCTAGCAGCCAAAATAATGATAAAAATTATATTTAGTCTAGTCACATAATGCAATAATTGAAATCACTGTTATAATTATCAAATGGCCTCTCTGTTCATTTGTAAATTATGCCCCCAGTTCTATTGATTTCCAGAATGATTTTTTCCCCTTCTTCATCTTTTTGATGGATGTAACATGAACGTTTTTGAAGTACAAAAGGAAGGCTCATGATTCCCTCCTATTGTATTCCTTCGGTGCTGAAACGATTTTGTACTACTTTTTTTTTTAAAACTTAAATATCTGAATTTCCTTGCTGGAAAAATATAAATTTCCACAGATGACAGACTCAGAAGTTATTGAGAAGATTATATATTTGTTTAGATCACAAATAGATATAATAATATTCAATATCTGGTTATTTGTTTCTTTAAAAGGGACTCTGTCAAAGTGAAGACTTTTTGTAGTATGCTATAATATTTACTTCATACAACAGATGGACCTTCTTGATATGATTTGGGATATCATACAAATGGTTATCAACAAACATGGAGGTAACCACTTTCCTCCAGGAAATCTGAGGATCCTCCAAACAGCAGTTTTATTTTAAAACTTTGCTAAAGGAAGTAGTGAAAATAGTACACCCATAATCACAATAGTGTCAGTCAGCTACGCACCACCCTGGGAAACAGAATAGCACATTCAGA